ATGTTTGGAGTCCCACCAAGTCTCCGTAATCCCCACAATGTCTTTAAGTAACCTTAGTATCTATATTGTAGCTAACAGCTGTGGTGATATTAGTTTACCCCAATAACCCCTGAGAACTAGTGGCCCGTGACGGTATATCTACACTGGAAAAATACTGTTGTGTTCTTAGGTTGGCTTTGGTTGGCAAGCTGAGCTCCAGAATGGGAAGGAAAGCACTGAGGACAGGGCAACTTCTAAGATACAATCTCTTTAAAAAAAATAAATTTGCAAATATAAAAGTTTAACTTTATACTTAAGAATAAAATAAATATTAATATAGTGTGATTTGTTTTTAAAAACTACTTTAAATCTTGGATTGTTATGAGGGTAGAATGTGATTTTTGAAATTTGGTTTCCCCGCCTTATTTTCAGGATAGCTTCCAGAAGTTCCTGCATCTAGGTATGTACCAGTTCTTATTATATGGAAAATTCTCCTTTCATCTCATACTGAATTAGATAATTTTAGAACATAATAAAAATATGGATCACTTTCCCTTTGTAAAATCATAAGGTGCATCTACATGTTCATTAATGTATTATAGTTTCTGTGCATTAAGTTTAGTACTTGAATAATCAAGTACTAAATCACTGTGCAAAACTGGCATTACTGCACAGTAGTGCCAGTGGACATCTTTTTAGTGATGCTAATGCACACTAGCCAAATAATACTGTGCAGAAGCGTATTAGCACTGTTATGCACTACTGTGCATTGTTATTAGGCTACTGCGCAGTTAGCGTCTCATGTAGACGCACCTACAATGATTTACATAATTATGAATTAAGTGCATTTTTTCCTTTTGCTATATAATTTAAAAGAATTACATGGTTTACTGTGAGCAGTTTACAGTGCTCAGCTGGGTAGGTTAATCTATTTGACTACTAGCTGTGTAAGCCCGATTGTCTTTATCTATGGACTCTGCCACATGTTCAAATTAAAGCTGGATAGAAACCAGCTATAAAGATGTTATATATTTTCAAGCAGTACTTTTATAGTGTGTTAGCTCTTTTTATAGCTGGATGGACATTTTTATAATCTGATAATTACTTTGCACGTGTGGCTGGGCTAAATTTATTGTGCAATTAACGAGTTGATTTTGTAATATATGTAACGTGGCAGGGACCTATACTGCATGATGTTTAACAATGAGCTAATATCAATATGTTTTCAAATACAAATGATTTTTCCAGTCTACACAAAACTAAACCCTGGCAGTGCTCTTCCATGAATGGTAACTATTGTGCCCCTGTTTTCCATAAAAAGGCAGGAAACCACTGTCTATGAAAATATTATACACTCTTTGCATGGAACTAGGTGTACTTTCCTACATACATGGTATGTCCACTTGGCACAATGTAGTATTGTGTAGAGACTGAAGTGGGTTAACTAGTTCTAAATACTGTATCTTGATGACCAGAGACAGTCTGCCCATATTAGAATATAGCTGTGCTCAGGACACACTGGTAGCATTTAAAGCTAGGTTGGTTATCTCTAATGGCATTGTGCCATATAGACATGTAATGAAATGCGTAATAGAAGCAGATTAATTAATTATTGTAAAAACTGTATGTAGAGCCGCCTTTATTCTTACAAGAAAACCCTGATTGGTTTTATCCTCTTGAGGCTTAAGGTTACTAGTACTCAACTAAAGAGCAAAGTTTGGTTGGCAATTCCTCCCTAAAGGAGGACCACATCTTAGTTATTTCATTGTGCAGAAAGGCTATGCACTGCAGTCTTTCCAGTTATCATTCCCACAAAGGGTGTTGAGTATAGTACCATTCACAAGGGGCGCATCTACGTGAGAAGCTGACTGTGCAGTAGCCGGAAAATACTGCGTAGTAGTGTGTCACAACATGGACAGTGCTAATACGCTACCGTGCCGTCTTATTAAGCTATGGCACGGTAGTGTCACTTAGAAGACATTCACTTACTAATACAAGTACTAACTGCATAAAATGTATAGATCAATATAAAAACTTCTTTTGAATGTATTGTTTCAGGTGATGATCGGAATATTTCTGAAGTATATGTGGCTGGCAAGCAAGTGGTTCCTTTTTCAAGTTCAGTATAATTCCGTTTCCCTTCTGCAAAACTGTCTGCTGACCATTTTACATCTGAATCTGAAAGGATTGGTTAAACACAGTGCCTCATTGTCAAGAATGACACCTAACATTTTTGTTTAATGTTGTTACTGTGTAGAATATTATAAATATCATTAGATCTATCAAGATTAAAGTTACCAAAATTATCACATTTGTAAGAAAAACATTGCATTTGAATCCAACTCCATAAATCACATCTTGGGGGTGGGGAGGCTAGAAAAACAGGGTAATTATTATTCATTATTTCATAAGCATCAGGCAGTCATCAAGAAAATGTAGGAAGAGTTAATAGCAATGATGAAACTCAACTTGTCTTTGAGGAATCTTAAGCAAAACACCCCCAAAAAACTGTAAATCCATTTTTAAAAAGATGAATGTCACAGAAGAGTGCAGGTTCCTCATTATTGTTTTTAGATGTGGGGATCTCAATGACATTTTTATATTTATACGTTTGGAATATATTTTAAAGTTCTGGGGTGCTCCAAAATTTTTAAATATTTTCCCTGTAGTTTAGATATTATTTTT